CAAGAGTCCTAAACTTGGCCAAGAAGTCAGCCTTCTGAGTCTCTGAGGTCACTACTCTTTAATGCAAGTACAAGTGTCAGACCCTGTCTCCCAGAGCACCCCCAGTACCCGGGCAGCAGGGTCTGGAGGGGCTTGTTACACTGTGGCACGAGCCACAGACTGGCTGAAATTTGCCTCATAACTGTTGAGCCCTGCTTTCAACGGTTTTTGTTTGTTCATGTGCTTTTTCAGTTTTTAGAGCTTCGTTGTCACAGGGCCCTGGTCAGGACTGCTCTGGTGAAGCATACTAAGTCTCTCTAACTTGGCATTCGAGGGAGCAGTTTCCCTGAGCTTCTCATGTAAATTCATCTAGTTCCCTTCAGCAACGACCTGGGACCTCAGGGTAAGGCTGCCCTGAGTCAGCTGCACCCCATCAGTTATTTATTTGTCATTTAGCTATATCTTAAAATCTTATACTATATTTATCTCTTTTATTATATTTATTTTATTTATGTATATTTATTTTTAGCTATTATTTATTATTTAGCTATTTTATTTTTATTTATTATTAATTATTTCTTAAAATCTTAAAATCAAGAATATTAAAAAATCACCATAGTAATAAGATTCTCTTAATTTAACTGCATTATTTCCTCTACAAAGGCTGGTCTGTTATCTGAGCCAATGGTAAGTGGTAGGCCAAATCGTGGACCAATTTCTGGAAGGAGCAATCTGGCTACTTCTCGGGCCTTCTCAGTCCAGGTGGGGTAAGCCTCTCTACCCAACTGGAATAGATGCATACAAAGACCAAGAGATACTTGAGGCCTTGTGATGGAGACATTTCAGTGAAGTCTACTTTGAGTTTCTCAAAGGGGGTGCCACCAACACTTTGGACCCCTGTTGGGGCACATGGTTCTTGCCTAGGGTTGTTGTGGGCACAGACTCTGCACCGTTCACATACCGCTCGGGAGATGTTAGAGAGCCAGGGGACATAGAAGTACCAGCCTAGAGTGGTTTCTAGGAAAGTGCGACCAAGGTGAGTCCTTTGGTGAAACTGCTTAACAGAAGCTGGAGCTAGGGTCCAGGGACTATAATTCGCCTGTCCTTGAACTTCCACCATCCACCAGGAAGGAGGTTCCCCTTTTTAGTCGTAAACCAATGAAGTGGCTGGGTTCAGGGTCCACATTACTTAGAGGTAGATATGCAAATTTTCGAGCATTTCTTGGTATCTGACCATCTGGTCATTGGTTAGCCAATATTGTCCTTTGTACTCCAGTAATGTTATTACTGAATGTGGTACTCGAACTGTCAGTTTTTGCCCCAGAGTCAGTTTGTCGGCCTCTGACACAAGGAAGGCCATGGCTGTGGGTGCTTGCAAGCAAGGTGGCCCGCCTTGGGTGACAGTCAAGCTGTTTGGAGAGATAAGCCATCTACTCCTCAATCTTGGACGGTACCAAGATCCTAGCAGTTGGGTTAAGACCCCTACTGCGACACCTGTACACTCCTGAACATACAGAAAGAAGGATTTGGTTAAGTCTGGGAGTCCTAGTCCTGGAGTGTTAGTGAGTGCCCATTTAATTTCTTCAAAGGCCTTCTGTTGTGTAGATTCCCAGAACAGGGGTTCCTGTTCTCCATGCTTTGTGGCTTCATAGAGGGGTTTGACCAGAATGGAGAAATTATGTATCTAGATTCTGCAGAAGCCAGCTGCTCCGGTGAATTTGCAAACTTGTCGCCGGTGGTAGGGATGGGAATTGAGCAGATGGTTTGTTTCCTTTCTGGGCCGAGTTGGCGTTGTCCCTGCAGCAGGTGGAAGTCAAGATATTTGACTCTTTCTTCGCAGATTTGAGCCTTCCTTTTAGAGACCTTGTAACCCTCTTTCCTGAGGAGATTGAGGAGTAGATGTGTTCCTTCCATGCATTCCTCATAGGTCTTTCCTCTTAAGAGGAGATCATCTACATACTAGAATAACGTACAGCTGTATTGATCTGCCAAGAAGGCCTTTAAATCCGAGGCTAGAGCTGTCCCAAAGATGGTCAGGGAGTTTTTGAACCCCTGAGGCAGTTGTGCCCATGTCAACTGGTCCTTGTCTCCGCTTTTAGGCCTTTCGCATTGGAAAGTAAAGATTGGCTGACTTCTGAATCTGCTGGCAACACTGGCTTTTTTTTCTTTTTCTTAACTGACCTTGGGAGGGTGCCAAGGCTCGGGCTAGGAGGACCCTACAGTTCTCCTCTAGGCAGACTTTCAACCAAGGGGGTCGAGTACAAACTATTGCCTCCCAAGAATCGACATAAGGGAATCGGTCTGGGTGGCCGGGTCGACCAGTAATGACATGGGAGACCTTTGCAATGACTTCCCTATCAAGGGCTCCCTCTGCTGGCCACCCAACGCCAAAAGAGGGCCAGTTGATCTCACAAAAGGTAAGGAGTTTCTGTGGGGTGAGTTTAACTCCATAATCTCCTGAATAACCCTTTTTGAAATTCTTAAGCATATAACCTAACACTGTCTGTTTGCTCTGTTGTCCACCCATCCTTCCACCTGTGGTCAGTGTTATACACTCACTCAGAGATTTGCTTCGCCCATCTCTGGCCACTTCCCTCACAGGCATCTTTTAGGTACCTCATAGCAATTGGTGGCTCAGTATAAACTCCCGACTCGGATCACTGGAGTAGACCCATCAGAGAGATCCATGACACTACCCTAAGCCGTATGAGGTTCGCCATGGAACTGTAGATAGGGGCTCAACTCGCGCTTCGTAGTGAGACCACGTCTCAAGCACACGCAAACACACACCAAATGCACTCCACCCTCTGCCCTATGTACCTGAGAGGTTACGGTTTCCTTTAACAAATGTAGAGTACTCAGGTGACCTTGGAAGTTGATCAGACTCCCATTCTGTCCTAGAGTGGACAGGCTGTTCCTGGGACCTGGGTCCTTACCATTCAGTCGGGTGGTGCTCCTGGGCTGGTTGCTGCACCTCTTTGGGTTCCGTTGTGCTCTGGGAGCCACCGCCCCAGTCCACTGAAAGAATCGTCCTCCCCTACAGACAATAGGTCTGCTGGCGCCAGGTGAACTCCGATTCTCCCATCA